GAACTAGTAGCATATTCAAATTGTAATGGCCCTGACAGAAGTTGTAGGTCAACATCTAAAGCACAGACAGTCTCTAAATCCCTATAACTGGATAATATATGAAGATGTCAGGAAACTCTAAAGATTACACAGTGGTATTTTACCTCCCTCTCTTCTTATGCACTGGTTCCCTTAGTTCTATCCAAGATCGATTCTCAAAAAGTTCCCTTAAACCTTTCTTTTCATTCAGATTTTAGCTTGGCGGGTTTACATGGATAATTTGTTAATTAAACAAGCATTTATTGAACTCTACACTGGGCAGCCTTCTGGCTGATGCAGCAAAAAAATGGATGCCCTTCTCTTGAGGAACTTATATTCTCATCAGTTGGGATAAGGAATAAACAAATGATTATGTAATGTGTGAGAAGGTGCTATGAAGAAAAAAATAAAATGATAAAAGAGTAAAGAGTGATTGAGGGCAGAGGCATCAGGGAAGGCTTCTTTAAGAAGGTGACAGCTGAAAAAAAAAAAAAAAGAAGGTGACAGCTGAGAAAATTCCCCAAGGAAGTGGGGGAAGGAGCCATGGGGATATCTGAGCAGAGGGAATGGCAGGTGCAAAAGCTGTGAGCTGAGATTCTACTTACCAGGTTCAAGGAAGAGGAGGAGGACAGTGTGGCTAGAGTTGATGGAGCAAAAGGGGAAAAGCTAGAAGATGAAGCCAGGGAAGTGGGGAGTCCAGACCATACAGTACTGCTGCTTTTAGCATGAAGAGCCATGGGACAGTTTTGAGGTTATCATGTGACTTAATCTTTGAAAGCTTCCTCAGGTTACTGGAGAAAACAGAGGGTAGAAGAGCAAGGGGGTGGCGGGGTGGGAGGGTTGGCAGGGGGAGATCAGGTAGTAGGTCAGAGACCATAACTATTGCACATGAGAAATGCTGGTGGTAGCAGTGGTGGTGGTGAGATGTGACTAGGTTCTAAATACGTTTTGAAAAAATAATTTTAATAAAACTCCTTTATGTTCATCACAACACATTCCTCTTTAAACCCAGTCCAAAGCCCACCTCCTCAAGAAAAGGCATTATATAACTCTGTCATCTCCTAGCCACTCATACAATCCCTCTCCTCTTCCTTTATCTATACTGGTAGTTGCTTCTTTTTACTTACACAGAATAAAGGTCACCATTGTCTCAGCCTAATGGAAACATAGGGATCATTAAGTTGCCAAATGACACAACATGGCTACTTCCTAAGAAATGACAGTGGAGCAGGCTTAAAGGCTGATAGATCTAGAAAACTTAGAGGAACTGGGGCACCTGGCTAGCTCAGTCAGGTGGAGAAAGTGACTCTTGATCTCAGGGTTGTAAGTTGGAGCCCCATGTTGGGTGTAGAGAGTACTTAAAAATCAAAAAAGAAAAAAAAATCTAAAACAAAAACATAAAACAAACTTAGAGGAACTAATTCCTGTTTGTTCAGGCCCTCCCTTCTGAAACCATCTCCTCACTGTGAGGTGAGAGATAACCCTGGGCATGCTGTAAGCTCAGTTCAAACTGATCTTGTGGGTCCTCCAGTGTTTCTCAAATTTTGCATTCAACATAGTGCATGGGCTTTAACTTTCAACTGAGAACTTAACCCATTATATTTAGATAATGGTGTGAACTTCTCATTTATTTCATTACTAGGTTAGAAGACCACAATATACTGGCATTACAGCAATTATGAAAAAACAGATACAGAAAACATTCCATTTTCTCTGGATAAATGTAAAATGTGAGAAAACACACAGAAGGTTCTAGAAAGATATATACGACAGTCTCAATAGTCACCTCTAGGGAGTGAGGTAGGAAGTAGCATGTAAAAGCAGGGTAATTAAAGGAGACTTGGCTTTATAGTAATGTGTCACATACTATTGAGAATTATTGTCTCATTGTATAGTTAATTTTTTAAAGGATCCATGTTAGTTATTTGGCACCTTCGGCATTACTGAATTAGATGGTAGTTATTAATGTGTGAAAAAAAGGTTCATGGAAAATTAATACTTGTATTTCATATTCTACTTCTAACCAAATATTGGAAGTAACTAAAAAAGTTCTTTTTCAAGCTTATATTTTAAGCAAAGAAACATACTTCAATTCATGAGAAGAATACTGGCTCTGCTCACATTCTGGATCTTTGATAATGATGAAAACACATTCTTTAAAAAAACATTCGATAACCTTTATCAGGTTGCATACCCTCTCATCAGGTTCTATACAGGAAGAAAATCTGGCTAAAAGCTTGAGTTAATGGAGTACAGAAGTTGGGCCGAGGAATGAAAAAATGGGGATGATAAGGGCAAGTGGCTGACTCAGTCGGTAGAACATGTGACTCTTGATTTCAGGGTCGTGAGTTCAAGCCCCACGTTGGGTGTAGAGTTTACTTTAAAAAAAAAAATAAATAAGGGAAAAAAGAAAAAGAAAATGGGGATAATAGTAAAACCAGGTTCCTAACCAGGAAGGCCGTAAGAAATCGCAAGGATATAAAACAGCCACTGAAGGATACAAATTTGAGCAGTAGCTAAAGGTAGAGAAATCCAGGCCTTGTACAGTCGTGGTTTCTAGGAGTCCACAGTTTCTAGAAGGTTGCCTGTTATCTTCTTTTCTGTTTAAATTCCCAGTTATGCAATCTTATTTCCTTAGCTCTTCACAGTAGAATCACTTTATCACTTCCAAAAGAAATTTCATCCTACACGAGGCAGAGGACGTTAGGACAGAGAAACAACTAAACAATAATCCCGTACAAGGCAGGGCATGATCATGAGGATGCAGCACTTGGCACGTCCAGCTGACTTACGCAGTGAGGCACTAGGGACCGGCTACAAGTCGGAGAGCCTGTGGGGAGACAGGCTGCTATTTCCTAGAAACTACGAAGAGCATGCAGGGCTTTTTCACTGCGTGGCTCAGCTGTGCCGGGCAACTCCTAGCAGACCTGCAGGTGCCAATGAGCTTCTGTGGCCCGGGCTTGCCTGTGATCGCCGTGGCCACGCTCATTCTGCCCTCCGGACAGGCCCGCTGGCAGCCGACCTAAGGCCGCACGCCCGAAGCTGGAATTCGTAGCTCTGCGCGAGGTGCGGCTTTCTCACACGGGACGACAGCAAGCGAGGCGGCCGCAGACCCTCACGCCTCCCACGCCCACGGCGGCCGAGGCGCGCTGACACGCGGGGCACGCTCCCAGTTCAACCACAGGAGCTCGTGTCACTCGAGACTGTCGAAGCGAATTAGTAGAACTCACCATTTTGTCACCCAAAGGGTTTGCCTGCTACTTCTTGTTTTTATCTCAATTAATTTTGTGTCTGCCGGACTAACACGAATTACCACTTCCATGTCTTGCACTTTTGATTTAAAAATAAAGCTAATTTGGGAGGTGTTTAAAGCTTTATTAATATTTATACGGCCATTAGCGGTGGCGATGAGGTTAGCAAGCTTCTTTTTAAAATTAGAAATTCTCCTTCCAATATGGCCTCTTGGCCCCAACTCCGACCACACCATTTTTAACATTTTTCTTAGGGCACAAAGCAGAATTTCACTGAAGGTCATAGGAAAGTTGGTTTTGGTTTTCCCACCATTTATCTTGCCCATTCTGCTCAGTGAGTCAGATTCGCAAAATACATTTCTTTCTCTGATTTCCTTCAGAAATCCAGAGGCAGCTCTTCTCCCCACAGAAGCGCAGGGGTGCCGGGTAACAGCCAAGCACTACTCTGCACCAGCTGTTTCGCGCCCCCTCCAGGCTGAAAGTAGACTGGGCAAGCGAAAAAAGAAGGGCCCCAGTACTCCAACCTGATACTGAAACACTGACGAAGGGATCATTCCCCAACAGAAAGGATACAAAGGGTGTGACCCATTCCAAATGTGGCCTATGACTCCGTATACTCGGCTGCCAGTTCCGTGACCTCCAAAACAAACAAACAAACAAACAAAACCAATGCTTTTAGCATTTTAGGGCAACAGCAGAAAACTCAGCAGGAGATGTGACCATCTACTGGGAGTAGCAAGTGCTGCCCAAGAATTACAACGGGACAGATAAAAGTAATTGGACTGTGTTGAGAGAAACAAACTTTGAGGAAAAGCCAGCACTGCAGCAGTTTTATAAGGGTATGAAGCTATACGGCACCTTTCTTCAATTCTTATCCCAACTCTGCCACTTCCTAGACGTGTGATCTTAGGCCCGGGATCTGGGCACTCTGTCTTAACTTCCTCATTTGGAGAGTGGGGATAATATGACCACTGCCCATGGAAGTTTCGTGAGTACCGAAGAGTTAATGGAAGAGAACATTCAGCACGGTGCCAACACCCATTCAGTGCATCCTAAACACTTGCTGAATGGTAACGTTTGAACAAGCGAAGTCAAACATTAAAGTGAGTAGCAAATAAGAGACAATCCACCTTAAAATGACAGTACCTGTAAGCTATTTCTACAGACAACTATAGAACTAAACAAAATGGAGAAGTGCAGTTTGAAACACAGGAGTTTTAATGGTTTTCTCTCCTGCTTAAAAAAGGAGCAGGGGAGGTACACCTGGGTGGCTCAGTCCATTCCGGGGTCATGATCTTGGGGTTGCGGGATCTAGTCCTTTGGTGGGCTCTGAGCTCAGGGGGGAGTCTGCTGGAGATTCTCTCTCTTCTTCTGCCCCTCCCCCTGCTCATGCTCTCTCTCTCAAATAAGTCTTAAAAAGGGGGGGGGGGTATTTCAAGGGTAACTAAAACTACTTGATCTCTAAGGGCGACGTGGCTACTGTGTTTAATAATAACTGATTTGCCAATAATGCACATGTGTTAACCTGACATCTTCCAAGTATTGCTCAGAGCAGTGTTGGCCAGTAAGGTAGCCACTGGCTATACCCGGCTACTGAGCATGTGAAATGTGGCTGGTCCAAACTGGACTGTGCTGTGAGCGCAAAAACACATTGCATATCACAGTGCATGTCATTTTGCAAAGACTTCGAAAATGTAACATCTCATTAAGAATTGTTAACACTGGGCACCTCCGCCTCCGCCGCGGCTTGTGGTCGTCCCGCCATGGCACTGTCGCGGGGACTGCCCCGGGAGCTGGCCGAGGCCGTGGCCAGGGGCCGGGTGCTGGTGGTGGGCGCCGCCGGGTGGCATCGGCTGCGAGCTCCTCAAGAACCTTGTGCTCACCGGCTTCTCCCACATCGACCTGATTGATCTGGATACTATCGATGTGAGCAACCTCAACAGGCAGTTTTTGTTTCAAAAGAAACATGTTGGAAGATCAAAGGCCCAGGTTGCCAAAGAAAGGGTACTGCAGTTTTACCCAAAAGCTAATATCATAGCCTACCATGACAGCATCATGAACCCGGACTATAATGTGGAATTTTTTCGACAATTTATATTGGTTTTGAATGCTTTAGATAACAGAGCTGCCCGCAACCATGTTAATAGGATGTGTCTGGCAGCTGATGTTCCTCTTATTGAGAGTGGAACTGCTGGTTACCTTGGGCAAGTAACTACCATCAAAAAGGGTGTAACTGAGTGTTATGAATGTCATCCCAAACCTACCCAGAGAACTTTCCCTGGCTGTACAATTCGTAACACCCCTTCTGAACCTATTCATTGCTTCGTTTGGGCAAAGTATTTGTTCAACCAGTTGTTTGGGGAAGAAGATGCTGATCAAGAAGTATCCCCTGACAGAGCTGACCCTGAAGCTTCCTGGGAACCAATGGAAGCTGAAGCCAGAGCCAGAGCATCTAACGAAGATGGTGACATTAAACGTATTTCCACTAAGGAATGGGCTAAATCAACTGGATATGATCCGGTTAAACTTTTTACGAAGCTTTTTAAAGATGATATCCGGTATCTGTTGACAATGGACAAACTGTGGCGGAAAAGGAAACCTCCGGTTCCGTTGGACTGGGCTGAAGTACAAAGTCAAGGAGAAGAAACCAATGCATCAGATCAACAAAATGAACTGCAGTTAGGTCTGAAAGACCAGCAAGTTCTAGATGTAAAGACCTATGCATGTCTTTTTTCAAAGAGCATTGAGACTTTGAGAGTTCATTTAGCAGAAAAAGGGGATGGAGCTGAGCTCATATGGGACAAGGATGACCCATCTGCAGTGGATTTTGTCACCTCTGCTGCGAACCTCAGGATGCATATTTTCAGTATGAATATGAAGAGCAGATTTGATATAAAATCAATGGCAGGGAACATTATTCCTGCTATCGCTACTACTAATGCAGTGATTGCTGGGTTAATAGTATTGGAAGGATTGAAGATTTTATCAGGAAAAATAGACCAGTGTAGAACAATTTTTTTGAATAAACAACCAAACCCAAGAAAGAAGCTTCTTGTGCCTTGTGCACTGGATCGTCCTAACCCTAATTGTTACGTATGTGCCAGCAAGCCAGAGGTGACTGTTCGGCTGAATGTCCACAGAGTGACTGTTCTCACATTACAGGATAAGATAGTGAAAGAAAAATTTGCTATGGTAGCACCAGATGTCCAAATTGAAGATGGGAAAGGAACAATCCTAATATCTTCAGAAGAGGGAGAGACAGAAGCTAATAATCACAAAAAGCTGTCAGAATTTGGAATTAGAAATGGCAGCCGGCTTCAAGCAGATGACTTCCTTCAGGACCACACTTTATTGATCAACATCCTTCATAGTGAGAACCTAGGGAAGGATGTTGAATTTGAAGTTGTTGGTGATGCCCCAGAAAAAGAGGGGCCCAAACAAGCTGAAGATGCTGCCAAAAGCATAACCAATGGCAGTGACGATGGAGCTCAGCCTTCCACATCACTGCACAAGAGCAAGATGATGTGTTCATAGTTGATTCAGATGAAGAAGGTCCTTCAAATAATGCTGACATCAGTGAAGAAGAGAGAAGTCGCAAGAGGAAATTAGATGAGAAAGAGAATGTCAGTGCAAAGAGGTCCCGCACAGAACAGACGGAAGAGCTTGATGATGTTATAGCATTAGATTGAACAGAAATGCTTTTTTTTTTTTTAAAGATTTTATTTATTTATTTGACAGAGAGAGACACTGCGAAAGAGGAAACACAAGCAGAAGGAGTGGGAGAGGGAGAAGCAGGCCTCCCGTGGAGCAGGGAGCCCGATGTGGGACTCGATCCCAGGACCCTGGGATCATGACCTGAGCTGAAGGTAGACACTTAACCATCTGAGCCACCCAGGCACCCCGAACAGAAATGCTTCTAAACAGAACCCTCTTACTGGGCAGAACCAGGTTATTTGTTATGTTCTTTGTTCCAAAGGGAAAAAATTGACACCAGTGACTTGAAGATGATTCTGCTCCCTTTGAAAGCAAGCATTCATTTTGCTAGAACAATTAGAAACACTGCGGTATGCTGTATTGAAAGTAGGAATATAGTTTTAAAGCCCTTTGAACAAAGTGTGTGCATAACCAGTCATGAGATGAAACAACACGATGCATGTTGCCTTTTTAATGTAAATACCCTTAGGTATCATTTAACAGTTTTAAAATACTGTCGTTTCGTAAAGTTGATACCTGGTTATAAATATTATGCCTTTATTTTTGGTTAGAAGAAGAATTATTTTTAGCCTAGATCTAACCATTTTCATACTCTTAACTGACTGAAACAGATTCAAAGAAGTATCAAGTGCTATGCATTGAAATGTGTTTTTAAATGTTAACTGGCACTATGTATATTAATGTAAAACAATGTTAATTTACTCAAGTTTTTAGCTTGTACTGCCTGGTATGTCTGTGTAAGAAGCCAGTTTTTGTGTATTGTTACGGTTTCAGGTTATTTATATTTGATGTTTTGTAGAACTCAAATACGACTATACTGTACTTATGGACCAAATAAATGGCATCTGCATAAAAAAAAAGAATTGTTAACACTGATTACTTGCAGAAATTATAATGTTTGGAAGTACTGAGCTAACTAAAATGGAATACTAAAATGTCACCTATTCTCTTTTATTTATTTTAATGTGGCTACTAGAAAATTTAAACTACTTATATGACTCACATTTGTGGTCCACATCTATTTTTGGACCATGCTGGCTTAGATCAAGAAAAAGAAGCCATGCTGTTCTTGTTATTACAACTTCTAACCATCAGTTATTGAGTACTTATTCTGCTACATGTTTTAAAACATTATTTCTAAATATCACAATAGCTCTGTGTAATAAACTGTTTCCTCTCTTTTTATGGATGAGGAGAAGGTTTCAGAGCGTATACTGCCTCAAATCACAAAGCTAGTAGTGTTCAGAGCAGGAATGAATCCACATCTCTCTGATTCCAAAGCCTGGGAGCTCTCTCCTGTACCAGAGGATGTGTGGAATTAGAGGCACATCAGGGGAAAGGGGGCCTTCCAGGAGCAAAAGGGAGCCCAGCCCTTCCCCAGCAAGGCACCTTGCAGGATGTGTAAACCCTCTAGTCTTATAAGTGCACAGACTTTCAGAGAGTTTAGAGACAACTTGGGTAGAGCTTTATCTCCCAGGAACAGAGCCACTCTTGGTTCCATTTTACCTAAGCAGAAGCCTCCATACGTTAACAGAAAAATTAGGAAAAGAATTCACAGGCAACACAGCGCACACTTTAAAAGTAAATTTTAAAGTGGAAAATATGCACAAAGACGTTATTTGTCATGTCATCATAAAAAATTCAACAGGGGGCTAATTAAAAAGTGATAATTTTGATACCTAGTTAACAGGAGAGAATGCTTAGATGTTACAGGACATAAAAATTGGAATATGGCATCATGCACACCCTTTATTATAACTCTGTCAAAGGACCTCTATGTATGTGAAAAACTGACTGGAACACTTTCATTGATAATAGCTTCCTATTAGGGCAATTCTCAAATGGTGGAGAGGCAGTTTTATCCCCAGGGGACAGGTGGCAAATTGGGAGGTGTTTTCAGTTTTTCAGTTTTCAAAGCTCAGGGGGTGCTACAGGTCTGCCTCTAAACACCCTACAATATCCAAGATGACCCCCCAAAGAACGGCTTCTCCAGCCACAAATGTCAATAGCGCAGAGACTGCAAAATCCCGTGTTAGGATAATGGGATTATAAATTTGTTTCTATTCTACTTTCCATATTTTTATAATGTTATGTTGTTTTACAATATAAATGCAAAAAATTACTGAAAAAGAGTAGCACAGAAACGAAACCATAATCGCCAACAGAGATGGTTATGATAAACATGGGTGATGGTTACGGGATGTTGAAGTCGGATCTACTAAAGATATTCCTTTTAAATATTTTAGATTTACTGAAAACTACAACCAAAAAGAATGTATGTAAATTACTTATAGATTAAAATTTGACCACGTTTGCTCAATCACTACTTGCAGTCGGAATGATTGATTCAACATCTAACAGGAAATTGGCACTCTTTCCTCTGTTGGGATAGCATTTGCTAAACATCAAAATATTTTTCTCACTCCTCTGAGGAAATAGTATTTCATGGGTGTTATTGTTACTAAGATTTGAAAATATATGCTATTTACACTGCATTTTAGGAAGAGATGAGAAGAGAGATTTTTCCTGACAATTTTCTCCGGTATTTGCATCACTGCAGTGAAAAATAGAAGCATAAAACGTACACTTGTGTAACAGCTGTTTAAAAAGTACGTGTTACTTGTGAACTAAACTACGTGTACTAACAGATGATCTGATTAGAGATTTCACAAAAGTAGGGATATACGTCTTGCTTGCAGGCATGAGAGAGTGCATCTGCAAGCTGTTTATGTACTCACCTTTTTCCTAGTTCATTTACATCAAAATGGAGATTTTAAAATAAAAAGCTACCACGTTAATACCTATTTAAATACATTTACTGATGCTAGGAAGGTCTAATCACGGTGTATCCAATGTTTATGCCACAGCATTTGACCACAGAAAACTCAAGTGTTTTTACTTAATATGCAGAGCAATGGACAATTCAGTGTTTTCCTGGAGCAATAACCACGGCCTCTGTCATCTCCAGCAAACTGCACATGGTCTGCCCTACGGTAGAAGTAAGTACTACGTGAATAAATGAACATTTATAAAATCACTCCCTGTGCCAGCGAGGGTTGTGTCAGATCTTCTCACAGAAGTCACCCATACTTTAGTTCCCTTTCTGAAGTGTCCCTCATACAGTCACCACCAAAACTCAGGACCCACCTCTATGCCCTCAGAGCAGGTGCCACGTACCACCACCGTAGTACTTAGTCATTCGCGGGTGACTTTTATATCTATGTCTTCCCCTAAAGTGTAAGGGCCATGTCTTGCCACTGGTCTCTGATGTTATCGTCAATACAGGCCTAGAGCATAAGGAAACGATGGCTCCGAGAACTTGCCTACCATCCCCCAGTTAAAGAGCAGTAGACTTAAGACCTGAACCAAGGACATCTCACTCCATACTATCTTCTTGCCATTTTATCAAACTCTAGCGAAAACAAGAGCAGAGGTAGACTCTGCGAAGAGAAATTTATGAAGTAAAACAAAACAAGAAGGTTTAGATGTTCAGGATCTAGAGATCAGATGCAACTAGTGGATTCTATGGCATTGACACTGACACTGAGAAACAGAAAATACAATTCAATAAAATGATACAGACAATTCCACGTACGTCCAAAATAGTCTCTAGAAAGTCAATTCTTCCCCACATTTAAGGAAAATCAGCCATTCCCATTTGGGCCATTCTAAGTGAACTTCATGAGGAGACAGATTATGTCTTATGTCTGTTTCTGTATCTCGAATTCATAACTTGTTGGAAGAATGAATGACTACACAACATTGGTCCCAGTTCTATAGAGTGACTTGAACAGGTAGGCCAGGTGAGATAAATCCTATAATAGGCAGCAAACTGTCAGACGAGGGCATTAGCCTAAACAAAGCAGACAAGAGATCCTGAGGTATATTTATCTTAATTGCAATTTCCCAAGGACAAAAGATGGAAATGTTTATCAGGACCGTGCCAGCTCATTGTTACGACATCCTGGACAGGCTCTTCGTAAGGCTGATGTGTTAATACTGATACTGCTGGAGACAGTAATTAGTTAAATGGGGTCCTGGAGCTACACCCCCTGGTTTCTAGCTCCGCTCTGCCACTTCCTAGCTGTGTGACTTCAGGTAACTTACCACCCTCATCTGTAAAGGCAGGCCAGTAATGGTGCTCACCTCATCTTTTTGTTAAATTAAATGCAAGCCAAGTAAAGCAGTCAGAACACTACCTAGCACAATATACAGTCTTAATACATATTTGCTATAATTACTATTGTTGTTGTCATGGTTGTTTCCAAAATGCTGTATTAATATATAATTTATTTTAAAGAATCATGGGCTTCTGTGAGATAACATGACATTCACAAAATTACTGAAAGTAAAAAAAAAAAAAATTAAGTTCTCTGAGTTTGGATGAATCTAGTAATTTGGGAAATTTCTATTAATTCAGAATTAATCAGGAAAAGCCAAAAATAGATGGTGGTAGTAATAACAATAGTAATAGTAATTCTCCCTCTAAAAACATAATTGTATGATTACATATGTATATGTGTGTTAAAAAAACTATCTGTAATATACCAATAAACGTTTTAATCATAAAAAATGATTGGCAGCTTGTAGAAGATAGAGCTTGAACATTTCAAATTTGCAAACAAGAATTGCAAATCATTCACAGAAGATTCCAAGTTGACAAGTGAGCTCAGGCAGGGTAAATAACAGTTACAGTTTAGTCTCAATCAGATTTGTTTCTTTTCAAATGCATACTCTGTTTTCAAAACCAGACCCAAGCTGCAGCGCTCAAAGTGAGAAACCTGGAAATCTTATGGGCCTCTGCGCTTGTTTGGTGCGCCAGCATTCAGAACCTCGTGCTGAACTGTGCAGGGGAAAGTGGCAGCTGATGAGAAGAGCTACACATTGCCTACGGTAATATTAAAGAGATCCCCCTCCAAGAATGCCCCTGACCCCTCTCATCTTTGCCAGGGCATTTGAACGGACTCTGAGCCAGTTTTCG